CTCGGACCCTGTGCCATCCGAAGCGCCCTCCTGGTCGGCGACTCCAAAGGGTGTGGTCTGCAAAGAGTGTTGTTTGCAACCGGCACCCCGGGAAACGTCCTGGGGGGACACCCCGAGGGGCGCGCGAGGACCTCGATGGAGTTATCCCGCGCCCCGAGGAGGCCCGACGAAGACAGCGCCGTGCCCCCCAGGCCCCAACGGTGCCGATCGCAAACCACACCCCGGCGTAACCATACCCTCTGAAGTCGCCGACTCCTGGTCAGCGTGCCCAGCCAACCAGCCAACGGCTGCCTCTGGCTGGGGCGAGGAAGTCAAAAGAAGAGAGCGCAGAGACAGATAGCGATGTACATCCAGAGAGAGCGAGTGGGTGAACCTCTGGTCGGGCAGGACGCGAGGAGAAGTGGGGGGGAGAAGTGGGGGGGGAACTGGCATGCAGACCGGCACCTTGTACTTGAAGCAGTAGGTGTCGAATGCACCGCTGACCCTCTTGGCCTGCAGTCGTTAGCAGTACAGTTCTTTGCTGCATCGTTAGCAACAGGAGACGAACTGTATGGGGCTGGGGAGCTCAAACGGGCGCAGCAGGGAGGAGCAGGAGGAAGAGGACGGGGAACGAGAGGCACATGGCGAGACAACGTTAGGGAGTCGGAAGAGACAAACAGAGGCGACCATGTGGAGGTGATAGACAGAGGGCGCCATCAGCGTTCTCGCCGTCTCGGGCTTCAGACCAACCACGACGGCCCAAGAGGCCCCAACATCGCCCCAAGACAGCCCAGGACCCTCCCAAGATTTGCCCCAGCACAGGCTGCCCAAGAGGCCCCCAGGAAGGCCCCGAGGAGGGCCCGAGAGGCCCCATGAGGAGAGGCTGCCCAGACCACGGGGGCCCGCCCCACGGGCCCCCGAGCAGCCCCCTGGAAGGCCTCCCAAAGGCGGGCTGCGGGGCAGCCAGGGAGCGCCCCCCCCCGCCGCAGACGCGGTGACACGACGAGGACAGGCCAGCAACAACCCTCTGCAGGCAGCGCACGACAGGACGCGGCGCAGAGAGCCCACGCGTGCGGCTCGTCCGCGGGCCCCGCGGGCGCGCGCGGGAGGTCGAGCAGCTCAGGGGGGGGGCGCTGAGCCCCACGATCGGGCCAGGGGGGGGAGTCGGGAAGCCGCGGGGCGGAGCGGCTGCGAGGGGAGAGCGAGCCAGGGGAGGAGCAAGGGGGGGGCGCCGGGGGGAGGAGCGACGGGAGGGGCAAGGGGCAAGGGGCAACGCGCAGGGGGCCAGGGGGAGGAGCAGGGGCAGCGGCGGCAAGGAGCACGCGCGCGATCGGGGGCCACGCACTCAGGAGGGAAAGTAACACACACACACACACACACACAGACACAATCAATCGTCGGTCCCCAAGAAAATATGGGAAGTGAAGGGGGGAAGACAAAACCCAGAAAATGTGGGAAAGTATGGGGAATATGCTTATTTGTGTGACCGTAGCCATCTGGCTCAAGCCATTTCCGCCGCCCGCGAGTGCAGCCTGGGGGCTGCGGGGCGCCAGACGGATGGCTGCGGCGGTGCCACTGGCTGCCGACGCCACGACAGCGGCCAACGGCGCTGACTCTCTCCCCCGCAGGCCAAAGAGGGCTGTGGTGGACCGTGTGAAGCAGATGCAAAGGAGCGACCCGATCGCCAGACAGCGGTGGAACGCGTATTGCACTGCCTTCGACAACAACACCAGGGACCCTTCGAGGCACGACACTGCTTTCATCAACAACTTCATTGCGTGGAGCTCCAGCGCCTCACGGGAAGACGAGGGTGGCGACGGCGAGCCTTTGCGCCATCCGCTACAGAGCCGCGATCACCCCGAGCGGGAAGAGCGAGCAGTAGCAACGGGCACTTGGCGACCTCAGCTCTTCCTTAGAAGCACCGCTGCTCAAGAACATGGGGGTAGAGGTGATCGACCTAGGTACGATGAGCAGGTGCGAGATGCGTGGGCAGTGGGATCGTGGACAGACGGCAGTGGCAGCACGGTAGGAAAAGCTGGAGGAGTGGGGAGGGACGGCAGTGGAGGCAGTGGCGAAACGACGGAGGGCGGCAGTGGCAGCGTGGTGAAGGAACGGGGTGGTACGGCTCTTGCAATTATGAGGAGGACGGCAGTGGCAGCGCGGTGGGCAGAGGGCGGCGTGGCAGCGACGGCAGCGGCGGCACCAGCGCGGCTGAAAACGTCAGTGGCGGCAGCGCCATCCAAAACTGCAACGCCACCACCGCGACCAGCACAGCGACCAGCACCAAGACCAGCACCACGACCAACACTCCGACCAGCACAAAGACCAGCGCAACGGCCGGCGCAACGGCCAGCACAACGACCATCACAACAACCAGCACTCCGACCAGCACAGCGACCAGCGCCACGACCACCACTCCGACCAGCACAACGACCACCACAACGACCAGCACTCCGACCAGCACAACGACCAGGGCCACGACCAGCACCACGACCAGCACACCGACCAGCACAGCGACCACCACAGCGACCAGCACAACGACCAGCACAACAACCAGCACTCCGACCAGCACAGCGACCAGCGCCACGACCACCACTCCGACCAGCACAACGACCACCACAACGACCAGCACTCCGACCAGCACAACGACCAGCGCCACGACCAGCACCACGACCAGCACACCGACCAGCACAGCGACCACCACAACGACCAGCACAACGACCAGCACCACGACCAGCACTCCGACCAGCGCAACGAAGAGCACCACGACCAGCACACCGACCATCACAGCGACCAGCACTCCGACCACAACGACCAGCACAGCGACCAGCGCAACGACCAGCGCAACGACCAGCACAACGACCAGCACAACGACCAGCACAGCGACCAGCGCAACTACCAGGACCACGACCAGCACTCCGACCAGCACAGCGACCAGCGCCACGACCAGCACCACGACCGGCACTCCGACCAGCACAGCGACCAGCACTCCGACCAGCACCACGACCAGCGCAACGACCAGCACCACGACCAACGCCACGACCAACACAGCGACCACCACAACGACCAGCATTCCGACCAGCACCACGACCAACGCCACGACCAACACAGCGACCACCACAACGACCAGCATTCCGACCAGCACAACGACCAGCGCCACGACCAGCACTCCGACCAGCACTCCGACCAGCGCTACGACCAGCACCACGACCAGCGCAACGAACAGCGCAACCACCAGAACCACGACCAGCACCCCGACCAGCGCCACGACCAGCACTCCGACCAGCACCACGACCAGCACTCCGACCAGCACTCCGACCAGCGCAGCGACCAGCACAACGACCAGCACAACGACCAGCGCCACGACCAGCACAACGACCAGCACTCCAACCAGCACAGCGACCACCCACAACGACCAGCACCACCACCTGCACCACGACCAGCACCACGACCAGCACTCCGACCAGCACCACGACCAGCGCCACGACCAGCACACCGACCAGCACACCCACCACCGCAACGACCAGCACTACGTCCACCACAACGACCAGCACAACGACCAGCACCACGACCAGCACTCCGACCAGCCTTGCTGCGTCATCTCGCGCACGCGCCTTCGACGTTGGCAGCGACGCATGCACATCGAGGCCTTGCGCGGGCGTCTGCAGATCGAGTCCACGAGGCGGTTGCGGGCCGAGGAGCAATGCCGAGCACTGATGGCGGCCCCCGGCCCGCGAGCTGCCACCACACAGGCGTGAGCGATCACCATGGCCCCGTGGCGCTTCGGCGCGCTGGATGGTCCAGCCCTGCTGCCCGGGAGACGCTCCTACGCGCCGCCGTAGGCAGACACCACGGGCTTGCTGACATGTCAGACGAGGAGTTTGCGGCCCTCTCCGCGCCGGCGCTGCGAGCCGGACAGCGAAACGCGCGCCGCCTGGATCGATGCGCTTCGCTAGACGAGACCCGGCGCAGTGCCGCGCCTCTCGCTGAAGCGGCCGGGGACTTTCCAGGGCGCCGTGCGGCTGCGGTGTTGCGGGTGCAGACGGCGTGGCGGAGACACACGAGTGTTCGCCGTTCTCCTTTGGTCACCAACCTGCGCTACCAACACCACACCGACCAGCAGCCTTCCGACCAGCATCAGCACAACGACCAGCACAACGACCAGCACTCCGACCAGCACAACGACGAGCACCACGACCAGCACTCCGACCAGCACCACAACGACCAGCACCACGACCAGCGCCACGACCAGCACAACGACCAGCACAACGACCAGCACTCCGACCAGCGCAACCACCAGGACCACGCCCAGCACAACGACGAGCACCACGACCAGCACTCTGACCAGCGCCACTCAGACGCGACTTCTCCTGAGACCCCCGATAGACCACAGCGCTGCTGGGCCGACTCCCACGCTGGCCAGCCCCCTGGTTTTGGAACGCGGCGGGACGGCGATTGGGCAGGACGCGCGGCTGCAGCAGTGCTCCGGCTCCAACGTGCGTGGAAAAGAGTCGCTAGACAGCGCGCCATGCTGAAGCTTTCTCCCAGGGGAGGCCGCCAGAGAGCGAGGAGAGCAGCTCCCGGCTGCCCGGGCCCTCCTGATATCTGTCTACGCACGTGGAGCCGCCGAGCGCGCCTCTCGCGCAGCGCGGCGCGTGGCCGACGGCGCTGCTGCGGTGGCTACCGCCGCTGGCCCCCCTGGGCGCCCACAGCGGCCCCCGCCCCCGCCCCCGAGAGGCGCTCCCACGCGACGCCAGGCCGCCGATTGCCGGCATGGGCAGGCGTGCCCTTGGCATCGGATCGGAGCGCGCCGCTTCTCCCATGCCACTCCCGTTGGCGGCGCCCTGGATGCTAAAACAGAATCTTCCGTCGGTCCTGGCACACGCGATTTTGGAAGGCAGTTCGTCTGGCTATAGCTACCCGACGGCTGTTCCTGGAGTGGCTCGTCCGCGTGAATCCGCACACGATACGCATCGACGACCCTCATTTGTGCGCGGTGCGGCACGCATCGTCGCTCGGAGGCGTCTGCAACACGGTCGAAGCAGACAGACTCTTCCAGCTGGTGCAGGATGCGGGCCTGGAGTCCGTCACCCACGCCTGTCTCATCCAGGAGCCCCTGGAGGACGTCGCCCTGGCCGCCCCAGCGCTGCGAAATGTGGAGATCCGGGCACCGGGGTCTGCTTCGGCCCCCCGACGTGCCGGCCGCGCTCCTCATCCCTCTAGGTGGGAAGCAGACTTGCAGGCGCGCGGGGGGCCCAGTGGGCTGCGGCCCACTGTGGCCATCGACAGCGACTTCCACGTTCGGACGTGCGCCCTCGTCGGCACCTACGAGACCGTCAGCGTACACATCGAATGGGGGCTGGCCGTGTGGAAGGACACCCCAGGTAATCTGGCCAGAAGAGCTGTTGACCGGGAGCTCAAGCAGGCGACGCTGCTAGTTCTGGCGCACGCACGGTCCTCGATGGCCCCACCAGCCGCGACGCCTTTTTCCCCGCCTCACGTGGCGCCTTTTCGGCAGCTGCCGACGGAGACCGTGGCGACCGCGACCGATGTGCCCGAGTTTCCCCTCTGGGACGTATCTGTACAGCGCACCTTCTTGAGCGACCTAGATGTCCTGGGTCACCGCTTTGGGGTGCAGGCGACGTTCGAAAGCCCGCAGACATGCCGGAAGTGGATGCTGCTACCTCGGAGCTCATGCTCATCGTCTCCTGGTATTCGGCGCCCACCAGCCCGGCCCTGCGCGAGGGCGCCAGCCAGAGCGCTGCCGTCCGCCGCAGCCGGACGCGCCGAGGAGGCGGAGGACGAGGAGGCGCCTTGACAGCGGACGCTGCCGCTGCTCAGCGAGCTCCGAGTTGCGATGGCGGAGCGCGCCGTCGAGCCATGGCGCTGCTCAGCGAGATGCGGGCGCCGCCACTGCTCCGCGAGCTACAACTGCGAGAAGGGCGGGCAGTGGCTGCGAGGCCTGGCGGTGCTCCCGCCGAAATGCGGGGCGACGCTGATGCTAGCAGGCATCAGCTACAACGTGTCGACGGGCACGTGCGAAAAGAGCGGGCAGTGGGAGCAGGGAGGGACGGCAGTGGCAGCATGTGGGAACGAGGAGGGAGGAGGGATGGCAGCGGCGGCAGTGGAGGAGGAGAAGGAGGAGAAGGAGGAGGAGGAGGAGGAGGTGGAGTGGAGGGGGACGGCAGTGGCGGCACAACGAGGCTGGTCGACCATGGAGGAGGAGGTGGAGGGGACGGCAGTGGCAGCGTGGTTAGGGAGCGGGACTGCGGTGGCAGCGGCGACACGGTGGGAGGAGCGACGAGTGGCCAGCAGCGGCGGACTGACGGCAGTGGCGGCGAGGACACGAAGGCCACCAGCGACGAATGCGCGTGGACATGTTTCCTGTGCGTCGGGGCGGCTGACGCCGACCTCGCCTTGTGGCCATTGCGGCGGAATGGGGCGGAAGAGGCGTGTTCCTCATGTGGCAGAACGGGGGCGACACTCCTCCTCGCCAGGGCGCCACGCGGGGCTGGCGCTGCTCAGTGAGATGGTGGTAGCGACGCCAGCGCAGCAACATCAACCAGCGACCGGCTGCAGCAGCAACACCAACCAGCAGCACCGACCACCAGGACCACCGACCAGCAGCAGCGCCGACCAGCAGCACCGACCAGCAACAACACCCACCTGCGACCAGCTGCAGCAGCAGCGTCGACCAGCAGCAGCACTGACCACCGACCAGCAGCACCGACCACCGGGACCACCGACCAGCAGCAACGCCGACCAGCAGCAGCGACCGACAAGATCGCCGACCAGCGACCGGCTGCAGCAGCTGCAGCGCCGAGTGGCACCTGAAAATGCGACCGTTAGTTGCCCTGATCCCGCGTGTGTCCCTGGACAGACAGACCTTTGGCAGCAAGGTGTCATGATCCCTTCCCTCTCCCCAATCTCACAGGCAATTGCGACCGTTAGTCGCCCTGATCCCCAATCCTCCCTGCCTCCGCCCTCTGATTACCCTGAATATGAGACCGTTAGTCGCGTTGATCCCAATGAAGGCCCTGGCCATCCTCACGTAGCTGCAGCAGCGCCGACCGCCGACCAGCACCACCGACCACCAGGAGGAGCAGTGGCAGCGGCAGCCAGCTCCGGCTCTGCTCAGCGAGACGCTGGGAGCGAGGTCGGAACCAGTACAGTGGCAGAAAATCCATCTCCCAGCCCTTACCACACTCCGCTCCCCTCCCGACGTCCCGCCTCGTCGCCACGGCTGGACGCGGCCGAGCCTGAAGCAGGAGCTCCTCTGCCGCAGCACCCTGGGCAGCGCACGCGAGAAGGAAGGACAAGCGCACTGGCAGCCGGCCGTGGCGCTGCCCAGCGACATGCGGAAACTGAAGCTGGAGCCAACCACCATCAGTCAGAGCACTCCGAACAGCGCGCGCGAGGCGAAAAGGCTGCGGCAGTGGCTGCCGGCCATGGCGCTGCTGAGCGGGATGGCAGTCGTGAAGCTGGAGCCCAACATCATCACCTACGGCACTGTGAACAGAGCGCGCGAGAAGAGCAGGCGCTGGCAGTGGCAGCAGGTCGTGGCAGTGAACAGCGCGCGCGTGAACAGGCGTTGGCAATGGCAGCCAGCAGTGGCGCTGCTGAGCGAGATCTTGGTTGTGAAGCTGGAGCCCAACATCATCACCTGCGGCATCGTGAAAAGCACGTGCGAGAAATTGCGGCATCGTGAAAAGCACGTGCGAGAAGAGCAGGCGTTGGCAGCGGCAGCCAGCTCCGGCTCTGCTCAGCGAGACGCTGGGAGCGAGGTCGGAACCAGTACAGTGGCAGACAATTCTTCTCCCAGCCCTTACCACACTCCGCCCCCCTCCCGACCTCCCGCCTCGTCGCCACGGCTGGACGCGGCCGAGCCTGAAGCAGGAGCTCCTCTGCCGCAGCACCCTGGGCAGCGCACGCGAGAAGGAAGGACAAGTGCACTGGCAGTCGGCCCTGGCGCTGCCCAGCGAGATGCGGAAACTGAAGCTGGAGCCAACCACCATCAGTCAGAGCACTCCGAACAGCGCGTGCGAGGCGAGAAGGCTGCGGCCGCGGCTGCCGGCCATGGCGCTGCTGAGCGGGATGGCAGTCGCGAACCTGGAGCCCAACATCATCACCTACGGCACTGTGAACCAAGCGCGCGAGAAGAGCTGGGGCCGGCAGTGGCAGCAGGTTGCGGCAGTGAGCAGCGCGTGCGTGAACAGGCGTTGGCAGTGGCAGCCAGCAGTGGCGCTGCTGAGCGAGATCTTGGTTGAAGCTGGAGCCGAACATAATCATCTACGGCTCGTGAGAAGCACGCGCGAGAAGGGCAGGCGTTGGCAGCCAGCAGTAAACAGTGGCGCTGCTAAGCCAGATAGTGGTCGTGAAGCTGAGGCCCAACATCATCATCACCTACGACATCCTGAACAGGTCGCGCGAGATGGGCGGCCTATGGCAGCGCCAGCAAACAGTGGCACTGCTGAGCGAGATCCTGGTCGTGAAACTGGAGCCCAACATCATCACCTACGGCACTGTGAACAGCGCGTGCGAGAAGAGCAGGCGCTGGCAATCGCAGCCAGCACTGGCGCTGCTGAGCGAGATCGTGGTCGCGAAGCCCGAGCCCATTATCATAGCCTACAGCATTGTGAACAGCGCGCGCAGGAAGAGCAAGCGTCGGCAGTGGCAGCTGGTCGTGGCGGTACTAAGCGAGACGGTGGTCGTGAAGCTGGAGCCCAACATCATCACCTACCGCAACCTGATCAGGTCGTGCGAACATGGCGGACGTTGGAGGCGGCAGCACTTCGCGGCGCTGCTGAGCGAGATGGCGGTCGTGAAGCTGGAGCCCGTTATCATCGCCCACTGCGTCCTGAACAGCGCGTGCGAGAAGGGCACGCGTTGGAGGTGGCAGTTTGCAGTGGCGCTGCTGAGCGGGATGGCAGCCGTGAAGCCGGAGCCCGCCAAGATCACCTACGGCACTGTGAACAGCGCGCGCGAGAAGAGTAGGCGCTGGCAGCGGCAGCGGGCAGCGGCGCTGCCGCGCGAGATGGTGGTCGCGAAGCTGGAGCCCGCCAACATCACCAACGTCACTGCGAACAACGCGTGAGAGAAGAACAGGTGTCGGTTGCGACAGCAACCCGCGGCGCCGCCGAGCGAGATGGCGCTCGCGAAGCCAGAGCCCGCCAAGATTACATACGACGCTGCGAACAGCGCGTGCGAGAAGAGCAGGCGGTGGCAATCGCAGCGGGCTGCGGCGCAGCTGAGCGAGATCCTGCTCGCGAAGCTGGAGCCCGGCATCATCGCCCACGGCACTGCGAGCAGGACGCGCGAGAAGAGCAGGCGCTGGCAGCGGCAACCAGCAGCACCGATGCTGAGCGAGATCGTGGTCATGAAGCCGGAGCCCGTTATCATCACCTACCGCATTGTGAACAGCGCGTGCAAAAAGAACAGGCGCTGGCAGTGGCAGCACGTTGCGGCCCTGCTGAACGAGACGGCAGTCGCGAAGCTGGAGCCCGACATCATCACCAGCTACGTCACTGTGAACAGCGCGTGCGAGAAGAGCAAGCGTTTGCAGTGGCAGCAGGTTGCGGCGTTGCTGAGTGAGAAACGGGACGCGAAGCTGGAGCCCAACAGCATCACCTACGCCACTGTGAACAGCGCGTGCGAGAAGAGCAGGCGTTGGCAGTTGCAGCAGGCTGCGGCGCTGCTGAGCGACTCCGGGTCCCGAAGCTGGAGCCCAACATCATCACCTACGGCGCCCTGAACATCAAGCGCGAGAAGAGCAGGCGTCGGCAGTAGCAGCAGGTCGCGTCGCTGCTGAGCCAGATGGTGATCGTGAAGCTGGAGCCCAACATCATCACCCACGGCATCCTGAACAGGTCGTGTGTGGAGAGCAGGCGTTGCCAGCGGCAGCAGTCGGCGGCGTCGCCGAGCGAGATGGTAGTCGTGCAGCTGGAGCCCAACATTCTCACCTACGGCGCCCTCAACACCCGTGCGAGAGGAGCCGGCGTTGGCAGTGGCAGCGGGCAGTGGCGCTGCCGCGCGAGATGGTGGTCGCGAAGCTGGAGCCCGCCAACATCACCTACGTCACTGTGAACAGCGCGCGCGAGCAGAGCAGGCGCCGGCAGTGGCAGCAGGCTGTGGCGCTGCTGATCGAGACGGCGGCTGCGAAGCTGGAGCCCAACATCATCACCTACGGCACTGTGGACAGCGAATAGGAGAAGAGCAGCCGTTGGCTGTGGCAGGTCGTGGCGCTGCTGAGCCAGATGGTGATCGTGAAGCTGAAGCCCAACATCATCACCTACAGCATCCTGAACAGGTCGTGCGAGGGGAGAAGGCATTGCCAGCGGCAGCACTTGGTGGCGTCGCTGGGCGAGATGGTGGTCGCGCAGCTGGAGCCCAGAATCATCACCTACGGCGCCCTGAACAGCGAGTGCGAGAGAAGAGCAGGCGTTGCCAGAGGCAGCAGGCAATGGCACTGCTGAGCGAGATGGCAGACGTGAAGCTGGAGCCCAACATCATCACCTACGACGCCCTGAGCAACGCGTGCGAGAAGAGCAGGCGCTGGCCGCGGAAGCAGGCTGTGGCGCTGCTGAGCGAGACGGCAGACGTGAAGCTGGAGCCCAACACCGTCACGTATGGCACCCTGAA